TAAAAGGGTTTTTGTTGCATGTACACTGTTATGACCACTAGGGCTCATCATGGAGACAGGTGTCGGATTGTTTCGAAGCCTCGACACAATACGGCACATTTGCTTCAACTGTTTCAGTGTTTCACGAAGCCTCGATCTGCCCACCACTAACAGGAATGGGAAAACCAGGACACAAGCAGATAACAAAAACCAGGAACATGGAAAACAGTGGAAACGCTCAGAAATGCAGTGTTACACGTACAAGACTTCGCAGGGAATGAATGTGAAAACCAGGCTATAATAGGGTGAGTTAACAAGGTAATGAGACACAGGTGGATGCAATCAGGGATGATGAGTCCAGGCAGAGAGTTAGGGGAAATGTAGTTTCATTAGGGAATGACAACAGTCGGGGGTGGAGTGCCCTCTGCTGGTAATGATGGGCACTCTCACTGGTAATCGTGACATGATCGGATCTCCGTTTCCTGCGCAATATTGTAATGGAAAAATGGCCCAGGTGCAAAGTCGACCTGAAGTGGTGGGGTTTCTTGAAATTAAAAACCTGAACAGCATAAAGAGTTCATTTTCTTTAGTATCGGTTTTGGTTTTCGGCTAAAACTTCAAATGTAATATCCGGTAAAAACAAAAAACTATTTTTGGTGCATCACTAGATAAAGCTGTCTGCTAAATTAATAAATGTAATTGTATTATTGTTTTTGACTGTCACTGACCATATGACCCATTACTGTGCAGTAAAGCACAAAATATGTTTAGTTGCTAAATGAACAGAACCAACCAGCCATCAGCAAGAGACGGCTAATCGTACTGTAAGTGCCCAACAGGATCCTGTAAAATCCTCCCAGTCTATTACTGGGGTTGGCCACCCTGGAGAATTCCAATACAGGCCATGTCCTCCATGTCGCTCCACCTCCTTCACATAAACTGCACTGATGTCTTCATGCTATCAGGCTTTTAAAATGCACATACTACACACATCTGGCGATTAGCAGAGCGGGATAACAGCACTTTAGCATCACAATACATGCTTACATCAATACATTAGGGCTGGGCGATATGTAAAAAATATTTTATCGATAATCGCCTTAAAAAATATCGCGATATCCGATTATATCGTCTACCCAAGCCCCGCCCCCTATGCGCCCTGCTGGAGACAACACATACTGAATACACGTTAACACAAGTCATGTTGAGTTTGGCTGCACTTTATCTAATGAAAGCCTGCGATTTAGTTGGTTTAATTTAATGATTGAAACGTTAAAGGTTTTACTTTGGTTAGTTTGAGCTTAAACGAGTATAAAACATTAGCTTTGCTTGTTATGTTAGTGTTGCTAATAATTTCCTCACTGTTCTTATTGCATCTGTGTTTGAAACGAATTTCGTTTCGCGAGGAGAAATGTTAAATAGGCCTACAACTGAACAGAGCACAATTTGGTGATTGTAAGAATGGTGAATGCATGTTGATGTTATAGCTAGGTGTCTTGTCTTGTCTATTTGTTTTTCATAAGGTCCGATTTTCTCCTTTTTTTTGGCGGTATCGCCTGATTTAATAATAAGTTTAATTTCCTATGTGTAGCGCTGTTTTTAAACTTGTATTTTCAAACTATAATATATTTGTTATTTGTCTAAAATTAGGAATTAAAAACGAATTGTCGTTCTGAATGAGCAAACACGTTTTGTTTTTTCCTCCTTTTTGGTTTTAGTTCCAAGTTCACCTTAAGCCGTTTAAGAAATACAAATGACTGCTTTATTTATTTAGAAACAGAAGTCATTAAAAATTATATTTGGGGATTTTTTTTTGTTTGTTTCGTTTATTTATTCATTTATTTAATCTAAAGCAAAGTAGGTCTAACGCTCCCAACATAGCCTACGGAGCTGCCAACATCGCTCCGAACGCGTGCATGAGATAGCCTATTCAAACGCAATTTCTTCATCCGTTTGCAATATAACGACATTTTTATTTTTATTTAAATTACAATGGTCACGTTTGTGCTTTTTGATTAGGCCTATTTATTATGTGCAACATTTAAATTAATATTCAGAAACGGGTAAAGTTAGCCTACTTCTACCATTTGTTTTTTTTAAAGAACTTTTATCAGCCTGCAAACCAAAATAAAATAGGCCTAGGCTACTTGATTATATGAAGAAAAATGTTTAACAAAATTACAAAAGTAAGGACAAATGATGTTTGACAGGGAACGCATCTCAAGGTCGCACAGACTCATGTTGCAGTTGGAGCAGTCAGCGCCGAACAACAGGCAAATAAAATATTAAGCTAATTAAAGTTACAAAAGTTCAGTGAGTGATTTTCTTTTTCTTTTGTTCTTTGATCAACATTAATGGTGGCAGCGAGTATAGGCTGTCAGTGGACTGATTCAATGGACACTACCGTTTTACTTTCTCAACCGTTAAGACAAAACCGGCTGTGTTTACGGGGATATTTGAACTTGAAAAGAGGTGTGTAGCCTACTGAAGTCTTTCCACGGTTGAAACAGTAATTCTTCTGATGTTTATTCATGTTTATTTGATGCTATAAATTAACTAGAAGTATAATTGTGAGATATAATTCTGTGTATTTGTCCGTGCACTATGTGAGAGGCTCTTTGCGCTGTTTGCGTGAGTGCGCAGCTCCGAAAACAGCGCGCATGCAGACGTGTTCTCTTTCGTCTTGCGCTTTAAGAATGCTATCAAGAATCGATTTTCTATTCTTAATCCTACTAACTAGCCTATAAAAAAATATTTCATTCATGTTATTGCATGATGATGTGAATAAATATGTTTAACTATAGGGCGGCTATGTGAAATATAAGCCTATGTCATTTTTTGATATTGACGATTATCGTCTGGAAACAGACTGTTAAATCGACATCATCGCGATACTTGCGAGACATCGTCGATATACGATGATATCGTCATATCGCCCAGCCCTACAATACATTGACAGAAAGTATTGATTTTCAGTGTCTGAGCTGAGTGAATGGGCAGACTGACTTAATCTCATTGTAAGAAGGACAACATAAAATGTCCAATTTATTATTTGAATAAAATAATGTCTTGTTTAATTATTAAAAGGTATCAGAATTTAATCAAAATACACAATCATTTTTGAAAAAAATGAAGAAAAACAATTCTGTCATTCTAATATACATTTCCCCATCTATATGGCTGCCAAATATGAATTCTTACTTCCTTTTTAAATAATCTCCTTGTGGTTGAGGATCCACTGGACTGAACGTCATGTGCACAGTAAACTCAAAACATCCTGACACAGCAACAAACCGCTGTTTTAAACTGCCTCTCTCAGATATATCCTGTATGCTGCTTGGATCATGATTGGTCAATTCTGGTGGTGTGTTCAGCTGAGCCAATCAGAAAGCAAGAGGTTTTTTCTGCATGACATCCCACATGTCATTAAAACACACATCATGCACACCTCAAAAATAATAACAATAGATTTGCACTGTATTTCACTTGAACTCCTTGATCATATTTCATTTTGCAAGCTTGTACACACTCAAACACACTCTTTGCCTTTCTAATTCATTCCATTTAAAGGGGATAATTTTCTCAGCCATGAATGAGTGTTTCATAATGAGTGTTTCTGTTTCATAATGAACGTATAAAAAGAGAACCAGTAAGTTCCCACAAACCGAAAGTGAGGGTGCATGTACTGCCTTTTCTTTTGGATTACTGATAGGGATTGAAAATAAACAACCCTATAAACCTTTTTATTTGCATTTTGGTTTATAGTTTTCATGACACATCTGAGTGCATGCATGAGCAGTCAGCAAAATCCCCGAGAAATGACACCACGTGGTACTCTTGTTCACTCTAGTAACAGATGAACGTGGCTCCATCACCATAGCTACTGCCCATTTCTCTGTCTCAAATATGTATCTTTCACTCTGTGAAAACCCAGTCATCCCCACAGTTTCAGCTTAGTAGATACAGAGTTTTGATTTCATTTCCCCATGAATTTAGAAAGTAGCATCACAGACATTTCACATTCAGCCTACATTACAGGACAATTTCATTGTCTGAGGAAAAAATATTGATTTCTCGATTTTAATCGATTCTCATTTTTACGAAATTATATCGATTCTTAAATCCCAAGAATATATTAGTCTATCCTGTTTTTAGTTGATGAATGAACTGAACATTGTGGAGCACCTACCATCCAACAAATCGCAATAAGCTTTGTGCATTGTTACATTTAATCTGAAACAAAGTCTCAGATTTCAAATTCTGTCCATCTTATTACGAAATTCTAAATATAAATACCGTTTTGGCGCTGTTTAAGGTTCCGTGACAGATCTCTGTAGCGCCTCAGTTCAAGAGAAGTGGCAGCGCAGAGCGCACGTGTTACAGAGCAAAATAAACATGAATGAACATCTGAAGGTATGTTAAAAGATGAAAAAATAAAATCCATAAAATTCAATAAAAACCGTATCATGTCTCATGTAATCGCTCAATCAGTGTTTCAACCGCGGAAAGACAACAATAAAACATCTTATAAACAATATGTCACGTAATTTATCTCAGAAAAATCATATTCAGTGACCATAACTCATTTCATTAGTCAGCTAGAAAAATTCATTTTATAGAGGAGCATTTTGCTAAATATATGCACCATAGTATTCATTATAATATTAAATGTTCTTCAATATTTAATGCATGTTTGAATAAATCAATGTTTTTATGACAGCCATCATTTAAATGTTTATATTTCAAAAAAACGAATTGGAGTAGAAATATAATTATGTAATGGTAAAGTTGTATTATAACTTTATTATTATAAAAAGTATTAGTATACAAATCAGTTATTTTAAATATTATAGTAATGTAGTACCAACTGACTCCCATGTATAGTTTACAGCATTAGTTTCCCTTAAGGAAATTTGCCATACTGTACCTGATATATATACAAAATAATCGATATCGAATCGAATCATGAAATTTGCTTCAATACTAAGCCCTAATTGTGTGCATTTTTAAAAGCCACATACCAGGGCATCATGCGTCCGTGTCGTGTCCATGGGGTTCTGCTTACTAAAAACCCAATTGTAGGATCAGTCACAGCATCCCAGGCCCGACCCACAAACAGGATCACAGAAGCATAGACGGGATCCAACTAGAAAGACAGATCAGAAAATCACACAATTTGGTTGGACAAAGCGGTTTGTGTAACCTGTGTTCGAAAGAAAGTAAACTATATTATCACTCTGCAACATTTTTACTACATCCAACTTTACATACAGTACACTCACATAAAGCAATATATAAGGGGTGGGAATCTTTTGGTACCTCTCGATTCAATTCAAATAAATTCTCGATTTTGAATCAAATTGCGATTCGATATATGAATAGATGTGATTCTAGTTACTTTTCCTCTTTGACTGCGGTAGACAGTGTAATAGGTCTTGAAGAAAAAAATCCCACAGAATTAAATGTGAACCTTTATGTGAAATTTATTTAGTATTTCTTCCCATTTTAGTCAACCCAATATTATTATTAAGCTGACTGCAATCACTACACACATGGCAGGCAGTCTTCTGTAGTAAAGCAAGGCAGGCAATTTTATTTTATTTTTGATATTAAACATAGGAACAAAGAAGCAATTTACAAACAATATGACAAATACAACAGAAACTGAATAATCAAATGTAAAAATAAAACTGTATAGTCTTCACCGTATGAATTAAATATAAATTGATTCATTTTAGAGATACAAAAGTGAATCAGTCAAAAGCAGTGAGTAATTTTTTTTATTAGCATTAATGAAACGGACAGCAACAGTTTATGAGGCTGCTGCCCCTTTAAGAATGAATGCACGGATCTAATATACTGTTACACATCCAATTTTCTCCTAACTGTTTACGTTCACGTAGAACATAACAGACTGTGTTTACATGAATACTCCACACGATGTGCATTTTGACATAATTGTGTGTGTATTTAACAATGTAAGCGCAATAAGCTGTGAAAGAACTGAATTCGAGACCGTTTCAGCTTATTGTGATTAATAACACTATAACTTGCCAATAACTTTAAGTAGGACTGCGAAGTTAAAGAAGAAGAAAAATCGACATTTAAAATGTGTGAATCGCCGTGAATCGGTAGAAGACAGAATCACAACTCAACCCTAGAATTCCCTCGACCCTACATTAAATACTATATCTCAGCAGCATGACTGTTTAAATCATTGCAAAATGTTAACTATTACACAGGTCTATATATAAATTGTGATACATAAGTATTTCCAGCTTTATCCGCATACCCATGTAAAGCTATATACTGTAAAGCAAATCTCGGCTGCATAACTGTTTATATCATTGCAAAAAAATAACTATATTATCGCACAGTTCGGTATCGTCACCTTCCTAAAATAATTGCCCAAGTTTTTTTTTCAGGTTTCCCAGAAAACACCAAAAAACTGAACCAATAATTTAATATATAATATTTATTTCGTTCTTCTTGATGCAGCTGCCATCTTGAAAATCTCATTGTCTTTTGACTTCACACTCTTGACATAGGCCATTATACTACAGGGGTAGAATTGCATGATCTGTTCAACTGAGGATGTGGGTGATTTTACCACAGGTGGCCCGCATCATGAGGAGAAGACTTGCGCAAAAAAATATATTTCTGTCAAAAAAATACTTAGGCAATTATTTTAGGAAGGTGACGATATATAAAGTTAGATATAAAATTATATCCAACTTTATCCACATACATAATCACACAGTGAGAAAAATTAAACTGTACAGTTGTTTATATTCTTGCAAAAATGTAAACTATATTCTCATCAGTCTCATTCTGCTACTATAAGGCATGATGATATTAAGATATTATAAACATTAACTACTTTTTTGTAATAGTTTTGTAACTACATCTGATATCAATCCTTCATTTGCTCGGCTGACTCGGATGAAGAGATCATATTGGCTATCGCTATGGGAACTGCCACAATAAAGAAGCAGCAGGAGTTTTGAATAAGATAACTGGAGCGGAGGAGTGTTAAGTTACACAGCAAGACAACAGCTTTATATCTGCTTTTTGCCCTCTCACATGCTCTCTTTTCTGACCTTGACCTGGGGCTCTGGGTCACTGTTCCCTTGCTTTGTTTGATGATTGTAAGGAGACATGATTTTCTCACCATTCTATCTATCCATATGGAGTGATATAACATAGTAAGAAAAACAATAGCTGAGCCAGTTTATTTTTATAATCAGAAGGTGTTGAGGTCTTGCGGTATAGATCCTCTGCATTCAGGTATAGCATTCCTACATGTATGTATACTCACCAGCGCCACATCAAGCAAGAAGATTTGCAGAAAGAAGCCCAGGGCGGTGCCTGTGATCTGATACGGAGCCCCTCCGATTGCAAAACACACCTTACTCCACACAGTCAGAGGTCTTTTCCTCTCCTGCTGCGGTGAGAGCTGAAAGGAGGACAAAAAAGAGAGATTATGAAAGGATGAACAATGACAGTGATTGTAGCAAGTAAAACAAGAGCCATGAGAGACCAGTGAACTGTTCACCACAAGAGGACGCGATAAGATCCTTACTGGAAGAGATGATTTAGTTTGGATTCTGTTCGTGTTTTTGCGACGTTCCATCTGAAGCTTTTTTTTTCCAAAAAAATCCCAGCGCTCAGCATCAAAGAACATTCAGAACTGCTGGAGGGCTTTTAGCATTTCAGTCCAGCAGTAATAAGATCCTCAAGTTCATTCTTCCTGGCTCTGTAGGGACATTACAGATAAACTGGACTTTTAGCTCTTCGACCTGCATTTTAAGGTCCACCCTCAAATAAACAGTAATTTCACCAATCTGACTGCTTGCACATTTGTCATAGGTAAATGCTTTAGTTTATGGCTTCAATATGCTCATGGAATCATCAGCACATTTAAACTAGCAGCCAAACTTTGCTACTTCCTCTTACTGGAAGTAGCTGTAACGGTCTCGCATCGTGAGAACTATCCTAGTTTAAACTATTCTTGTTGTTGGTCCCTCCTCTCTATATGATTTCTTAACTAAATTCTTGCAATTGCTTGGTCTTAAATGGTTCAGCATGCTGATAGTGGTCAACCACTCAATGCTGGAACTGTTTAAGTGCAGAACACATACATGACTGCATTAGCATTAGACTATGATGACTAGATGTTAGTTCTTCACAAATGGTTATGGTCTATGCTTTGTCAGTTAACGTTGACCAGTCATTGACAAGATTTTAAACTTCAAACATTAAATCGGCAGTCTCTTTAAACACTGAGAACCTGCACATGGTCTGCAGAGTGTGTTAATCTAGTAACAAGGGTCTGTTGGGAAATTGCTGCATTAACAATATTTTACTAGGCCGTTTGCCTTGTGCTTTACAATAACTTTAAGACTTCTGAAACTTAAAATAAATGTAAAACTGTAAAATATATACAGAGAAAGAGAACTAATGCAGTGCCAGACATGATTTACATATGACTTTGTATGCCATGTAGTGGCATATGTGAAAGTTCACAGTGTAATTTTAACTGTAAAATATTGTAAAAATGCTACAGAAAAAAAAAAATGTTAAAGGGATATTTCACCCAAAAATGAAAATTGTCAATTACTCACCCTCATGTTGTTCCAAACCTATATGAGTTTCTTTCTTCTGTTGAACACAAAATAAGATATTTTAAAGAATGTTGGTAACCAGACAATTGACGGCACCCATTGACTTTCATAGTAGGAAAAAAAATACTATGGAAGTCGATGGGTGCCGTCAACTATCTGGTTACCGGCATTCTTTAAAATATCATCTTTTGTGTTCAGCTGAAGAAAGAAACTCATTTCAAACAACTTGAGGGTGAGTAAGTAATGACAAAAATGTTCATTTTGAGTGAACTAAAGTAAAGTAACTTAACGTAAATTATAATTTACAGTGAAAAACTGTAAACTGAAATTCCCAGAATTCCTTGGTGACACTTCACATTATAAAGTATTTTGTTTAAATAATTATGATTCTTAATTATTTTTGTAATCAGTTATGCACATTTGGGTTTTACATTACATCTTCTGTTGTTTAATGCATTATTTTAGTGTCATGCATGTTACCATGAGGATGTTTTTGTTTGCGTGAATGCACCTTGTATACTAGTATAATTCAGCTTGTGAAAGGGCTACTTGTGATGAACTTCTTTATACCTCATGTGGCTTCCTCTTTTACCACCTGCAATATGGTGGTTGTCAGTATGTTACTCAATAGATTTTAGTAGTAGTTGTGCATTGTTGGATTTACCAGTTTAAATTGCAATTTTCTTGTTAGTAAAAATGTATAGGTTGTTTTGTAAATATATACATTTTTACTGTATTTTTTACAAAATTAATCTGACAACCACAGCTGCCAGGATTTTTTTTGTAAAAACAATGCGATTTATTTTACAGTGTAGTCTTCTCTGACCTGTAATTAGCACAGACTGTGAGACATATCTACGGTACAATATCATGGACAGGATTAGTTAGCCAACAACAGCAAACAAATAACAGGGAACTATTCATTCAAATAATGTGCAACACCGTCTGTAACTTAAGGAATAGTTCAACCACAAAGTTTTGACGCTGTCAGCACCTGCCATCTTTTGTTTTGCACAGGAAAGAAAAAGCTAAAAACATTTCGAACAACACGAAAATGAACACACGTCCCCTTTAAATCCGGCTTTTCTTCGCGGTGTTCACAGACACGCCTCAGTAAAGCTAGGGTGTATAGGAAACAAATATAATGTGAGTAAGTTATATCCCCAAATATATAAGACCATTGGCTTAGCCTATATTTCTATTACAAATATGACATCAATGTCTTTCGTCGGTAGCCAGCTGTTCCGCATGAAATAACGGCTGCCACGTGCTGCTGTAATCATTATATTCAGCATCAATCTAAACTGCCGCCTTATCATTTAATCAAACCATTTGCTCTGAGAGTACCTACTTGGAGCCAAAAATACACAGTGCTAAAAAACATACATCAATGATTTAATTTCTGACTTACCTTAGCTATTTTGATTCCGTCTTGATGTACGGTTTTGGATGTAGGAAACAGACCGGATGATGAGAACTGCTCAACTCCCTCTCCTCTTGCCATTACACTGATCAGAGGTAATTTTATTGCAGGAGCAGAGTGCACTGCTTTATCCTTGTGTTGACAGGGTGTTGCTTCCAAGGTCGAACAGAACGAGATGCTGTTCAGTGTTCAGTCTCCACTTCTGCCTCGTTTGAATGAATGCTGCTGAAGTGTCGTGGCGTGTTCACGCCCACACGCTTTTTTCCCTTGTCACGCATCGAGAGATGTGCACACGCTGTTGCTCCAAAATCACACACACACATAAAAAGTTTATGTTTATGATATAATATTTTCCGAAATGCAGTAGTGCACTTCATGTTCTGCATGTAGTAGCCTAAGTAGACATTGCTCATATTTCAGCTGCACACAGATGGTACGGATACGTACGGAAGCCCTGAACCGCAACATAAAAAATCTGTAAAAAAAAAAAAAAAAAATCTAGCATTTCGAGATTAAAGTCGAAAAATTTCGAGATTAAAATCCAAACATTTCGAGAATAAAGTCAACACATTACGATAATACAGTCTTCTATAGAAGTGTGTGCATTCATAACAGTGCGCGTCCACTGGCTCAGAGCGCGCGCGCGTGTGTGTGTGTGTGTGTGTAAAGAAATGCACTTGTGAAGTCGAACTGCCATGGATCAACACAAAATAGTAGCTTTTTACTTTTATCTGGGCTTTCAACAAAATACACAGGTGCTAATAATCTACCAACAAGAATTACCATGGCGTTGTGAAATGCAGTGAAATGCAAACTCAGGATATTACACAAAACTGCAATGATTAAATATGTTAAATAACACAAATAATCTTTTATACAATTATTTACTTTTTTAAGGAGGGTCCAAAAGGAGGTTTTCACAATCCCATAAGAACCATTTTTGGTTCCTCAAAGAACCTTCCAGTATATACCTTCCAGATTGGTTTTTCTTAGTGGGAAGAACTAGCCTGGATGCCAGCCCGAACCCCGCCCACAACATTTTTTGATCGGGAAGTTCATTCTGACTAGAATATGAGTATGACGAAGGGAAGAACATTTTAATAATCTGAAGAAACTTTTTCCATTTAAAGAACCTTTTGTGCATTGTAAAGGTTCTATGGATGTTAAAGGTTCTTAATGGAACCATTGATGCCAATAAAATAAAATAATTTTAAAGACATCCAAGAGTGATGGTTTATCGAGAAAATTTTTTTTTCTATTCTTTAGTCGATGATTGGACAATTTTTAGTCAAAAATTTTTTTTCTATTCTTTAGTCGATGATTGGATTTTGAGATGTGGGCATTTTCAATGGAGGCAGATGAAATAATTCACCCTTATTTTGCCTCTAAAAATGGCTTCTCCTTTCATTAGAGTCCATCTGTGTGCAGTAAAACTGAAAATTACTGTATTTTCATGAAGGGTGATGAGAGAGCAGTATCAGGAAAACACCACTTTATGACTAATCATGCCCTTCAAGGCCATGCAACATGTAAAGATCTGAGATGATGAGGTCCTTAAACAATTTTTTTTTTAAATTCCAAAACTCACAAGAAGAAATGTGGAAATTCCAAAGCATACAACAATTTCAATTTAAGGAAATAATGTGACATAAAAATAACTTTTGTGCAATACTAATTGCAATATTTGACATATACATACATTATATCAAGAACATTTATTTTATTACTTTATTATTTTGTGTAAGCTGAACAGTTCTGAAGATGTTTGTAAGGGGAATAGATGGAGCAAAGTACAACAATCCCGGTGCAATATGGTGGAGCTAGGAATAATTCACCTTTAAGCAGGAAAATAAATGAAAACAGATAGCAAAAGCTGGAGTGGTTTAAAAATAAAAAGGTAATATCCTGAACTGGCCAAGTCAAAGCCCTGATCTCAATCCTACTGAGCCTCTTTGGAATGACAGAATGTGGAAAGTTTACAAAAAACTGGATGGAGTAAAAAGCTTACTTTGCATATAAGCACCATTGGGGAAGACTGTTCTTTTGACTAAAGAGTGCAGATTCAAGTTCAGATCACACAATTGATGCATGAATGAGACACCTAACAACCACGAGTTGATCAGAGAGGCTGTTCCTGTATTAAAAGTAGGCCTACAGTAGTTGCTTTGGAAAGCATTTGCTAAATATAATTTACAAGAAAGTTACTGTTACTTTTCTTACAGGAGAATTTGAAACACTTAAAGTACTTAAAGAGACTGCTGCCAACTGTTACCTGTGTGGATGATGGAATTAATGAGGGTATAAAATTAGTCAATTCTGTGTTTGCGGTGAAGAGGGAGTTTCAAAAAGAGTTCCAAAAAGACTCATTGTATCTATATTCTTAGATCGACTAAAACATACTCAGACTCTTAAATCACAGCCAATCAGGGTGTGGGTGATACACAGCCCATTTGCAGCTGTTCAGCATATAGCCTACTTCAGTGCAAATCTTTCAAAAGCTTGTCGATCTGTTATATCTGATGTGTAGGCTCTGTGCGTTCAGCTTCTTTCATACTGTTTCTGTCCAATATTTAGGACTTCCAATATTTAAAACTATTTTTTTAAAGCCTTCCTGTAGCTCAATCAGTAAAGCATGCTAGTAGCAAGGTCATGGGTTTGATTCCCAGGGAAAGCAAGAACTATTTTTTTAAAAAGTGCACCCTGAATGCAATTTAATTGCTTTAGATAAAAGTGTCTGCCAAATGCATAAATATGTAGAGGTCATATTATGTAGAGTGGTCTGTAACTTTACACACACACATTCTATGAGTATGCTGTGAACCTGATACTGTGGACATCTGTCGCCTCTAACTCGCACGTGTTCTCATAAGCGTGCATGTATGTTCATTCATGGACACACAGTCTATGTTATCGTTAAGATACATTTCTGAAACGGATTTCTTGTCTGCAGAGCTGTTGTCATTTGTTACAGATGAGATATATTCTGTATTCTTGTTCTCTATTATTATATTGTTTTGGAGAAGTGACATCACAGACATCCCAAGTCTCCCGGAAGTTCCTTTGGAGAAGTGACATGGTCACAGACATCCCAATACCTCCCTGAAATGACTTTTTGCAGGTTGGGATGTCTAGCATTTAAACTATTACAATTCTCAACTATCAACAAACACCATGGCTATTTAAACAGTTTGGTCTCCGTTCCAAAGATGAATGAATTTAAGGGTGTGGCGTCATCTGCTGGACAGCAATGCAATTACAACCAATACAAGCAATAATCAATGCAACTAAGTTTTATTCAAATGAACTTGGATTAGAACATCGTACTTAATGATAAAAAGTAAATGATTCACCAGACACAGCAAAATGATTTTAAAAAATGCCACCTTTAGCGAGATCTCCCCTTCTAACTGACTGAACAAATCAGTATGAGCACATTTCCCTCACAAGCTGTTGCATGTTTCATGACACATGAAATTTCCATGACAATTACAATGACAGTTACATTTTAAACTGGCTTCTCTGATCTCTGTAGTTCGCTTATCATGTGAATTGTGCTGCATGCATGGCTTGTGTTGTGTATATTGCCCATCCTCAGGAAACAATAGGTTTACTGCTAATGTATGTATTTAAACGAGACAAATGACACAACTGATATATATACAGTTGTTCTTTTGAATTGTAATATAATTTCAAAATATTTTTGTTTTTACTGTATTTTGATTCAAATAAATGCTGATTTGATACGTTTCTGATTATTATCAATGTTGAAAACAGTTGTGCTGCTTAATAGCCTAACCATACATTTTTCAGGATTCTATGATGAATATAAAGTTAAAAAACAACAGCATTTGTTTGAATAGAAACCTTCTGTAGAATTATAATTTATTTTAACAATCGTATTGGCCCCAAACTTTTGAACGGTATAATGATGAGACAAACATGTGCAACATAAACTCATGTGCAACTCAAACTCATTTTCAGAGCTCTCACAAAAAATCTTTCTGGTCTCTGAAACCCTCTGAGGTCATTGGCGTTATAGGGGGTTAAAGGTGAGATAAGGGGAATGGGGATTGAGGGGCAGAAACAGGAGTTGGTCTGAAGATCAGACTCCTCATAAACACACCTCTTTGAATGGCAGAGGGATTATTTTGTCAGATCTGTTGTCATCATCCATAGCTTGTGTTTACTTTAACTGCTCATACTTGGTCTTTGATCAGGAAATGTCCATGTGTGAAAACAATTATTGTTCATGTATACAGCATCTCATTTTCACCTAATGAAGTTGTATGCTCTTTTTTTCGACTCCTCTTTAGAGAGTGTGTGTAGATGGTGTTATTGCCGAATGGTGTTAAGCCTCCAACCTTTCTCTACATGCGCATATGCAGTCTGAGGCTCTGTAGAACAATACCAGCTCCCAGCACATGGAGCGCAGCTAGCCTGCAGCGCTAACCCTCCTTAACCCTTTGTTACGGGCTAATCTGTTGCCTTAACAAAGACAGTGGCCTCCAAGTTTTTGCCTCCATTGAAGAGGGGGATGGTGGGGTACAGAAGCAAGGGAGTGGGAGAAGAGGAGAGAAAGACAGAACTGAGTGGGGGATTTGGATACTGTCATGTCTTTGGGTGACTTCTTTTGTGTTGTGGTGATGCTCAGAGAGGGTTGAGTTTAGAGTTTAAATAGCCACAGATGTAAAATAAATAAAGACAATGGTAAAATATTTCAATATATCTCAAATAATTAAAAAAATTAAGATAATGTAAAATAATGTAAAACTTATATATATATATATATATATATATATATACACGTATATATAAGTTACGTATATACATATATATATATATATATATATATATATATATATATATATATATATATATATTAACTTATACATAAGTGTATATATTATATTATACTTAAATATACTTACATATGTATAAGTTAATATATAAGTATATATAAGTATATATATATAAGTGTGTGTGACTATGTGTTATTATAATTACTATAAAAAATAAATCTAATATATATATATTATATTTTATGGAATATGTTCTATTTTATCTAATTGTATTCTTTTATTATTATGCAATTATCTGTGTACAAACCTTTCAGGCAGGAAATACCCTTCTCTGGGAATGAGGAATGGAAGAAACAGAAAAAAAAAAATCTTTTGTTTCTTTCATGCAAGCCAATGCAGGGTTAGGAAGTGTCATGTATCCTTTATGCAGTAGGGGGCGCCCAAATGCAATTGCGTTGAGTATAGACATGTGCTCCTTGAAAGGTGTGTGTGGGGGTTCTTTGTTTAAGTAGTAAGTAGTGCCCATTATAAGCTTTTTGACCACTTGACTGTGTGTTTTGACTGACCAGACTTATACAACAGATGTCCAGAGCAGTTAAAAGAACACAGCATGCTCAAAATGTGTGTGTCCCAGACTTTTAGTTAAAAATAATCTGAACATACTTTTAACACGAAAATGTTGAACTGGTTGTTAGGACAAATCACTGTTCCAGAACTCTCATTTCTCCACCTTTCCTGTGTTTGTGTAGGGGTTTGATGATAATGCAATACGCCCAATTTTCATCTTAACTGCACACGCTACAAAAGTATAGCCTATTGAACTCCTACTGGACACTTTCTTTGTCTTTCCTACATTATCCTGAAACATACATAAGTATACCAGACACATTTCTTTTCTTCACTGGCACTTTTTTCCCTGTAATACAATTATCTGTACACATCTGTTGCTTATGAAAGCAGTTTCATAGAAATGTCAGTGTATGACCTGATAGACCTAAACCTTATCCACTCAGTGCTGTATCTGCTCTGGTCATTTGCATAGATGTGTGATGCCCCGTATGGTCAAGCATTAGATCACACTTCTACTCGACTAGGGTTCACACTCTGCCCTCAGCGAGGACTGCTCTATACTAAAACGCAAACCTCTCATGATGTGAGTGCTGAATCCAAATGAAATGGAAAAACATGGATAACTTGTCTCCAGTATAGCAAAGTAGCAGAGCTCCAATTCCTGACTGAAATCATAGGCTAATACAAAGAAATGGATGGCCAGTTCATCAACAAACTTAAAAAGAAACACTGCTCAATGAGGCATGCACAACCTGCAATTGGTTTGTGGAATAGATGTTTTATTAAACTAAAATGTCCACTTTGAAAGGACATATCTCTCTTGTAAAACAAGAAAATTTGTTTTTTTTTGTAATACCCCTCATTTTAATTTGGGTTTATTACCAGAATAAAATAAATTTCAGTTGTGACCTGCAAAATATTTTTTCTCTGACTGGTGACAATTCAATTTGTAATAATAAAAATTCAGGGGGCATATGGAAGCAGAATGATATGGATGGACTGTATAGGATATGGATTGATGCAAAATATTCCTTAATATAATTTTTTTTCTTTCTCATTTGGTTTTGTTGCCTGTTTTGCCCCAAGATGACAAGAATCAGATACACCTCAATTCTGGTAATTAAGAAAAGAAACTTCTTAATTCTTGTTATTTTATGGTTTATTTTCATTCTCTAGTGCTAGGCTATATCTTATTGTTATTAGAAGTTTATTAATATATATATATATAAAAAAAAAAACAGTTGCATTTAATCAACAGATGCTTTAAACATGCTGTCCTCGCCAGATCAGACACAACATATTGATTGGTGCGTGATGCATCAGAAGACAATTAAAAGGACGCATCAGCTCAATCATGATTAGATTGGAGTAGTGACGTGACGCTTCTATTTTCATTCAAATGCTTATTTTAGTGCTGCGAATTGCCTCCACATTCACATTAAGCGCGTTTCACACGCTCTCCCCGCCCTGTAATTCCGGTGGGTGGGTCCACGCGACGCTCTCGCACACAAAGACGCAGATCTGGCGCGAAAGCACTTTTACCGGCAGTGGGCTGGGGGAGGGTGCGGCTGCACTGCACCACGCGGATCGATCGTTGCTGCCGTTGTAACAGGACACCCGCTTTATTTCTGCAAGGGGAAAAAAAAGTTTTCTCGTTGTTCAGGTTAAACGGCCGTAAAACAGGCGTCTGGTGTGTCTCGCGCGCTATTGTTTAGTGAGCGCGTGTGTACCGGAGTTCTACCGGACGCTGCGCTTCTTTGTTCTGTTCTGCGCGTCCCGTAGACTCTCCCCGGACTGTGCAGGTCTGCGACCCCATGGTAAGTGCATTTTACATCAGAATTCCATAATTTGCTTAAACCGTACCTTAAGTTCGTTTCGTTGTAAACTTTCGTGTTAACCCGTGGGCCGTTGAACGTTTCCTGGATCCTTTAATCGGACCCTTTACCCCCTTGTTAGTGCGTCTAATCTTTACAGAAGTAACTTAACGTTATAAAGCACCACATTTCTACCGCAACTCTTGGTTTCTATGTGACTTTTAATCAGTGATTTAATCCTGCTAGTGTTGATTAACGACTTTGATATGTTGCTTTGGTTGTTTTGTGGCTGCACGAGCGCTCACTAGGCGAACCCCTGCAGTTGTGCGCGTGCTACAGAAATCAAATGTGTTTATAATTTATAGTTGGTGCATTTAATCAATGCAATCGACTAAGAGCGTGCAATTTGAGCATATGCGTTTACATTTGAAGATCTCATTTAAGGAATGCATTTGGTGAGAATGTATTTGCATGTCAAAATTGCATGTAAATATGTATCATTACAAACTTGCTTTAAAGTAGGTAAGTTACATTATGTGCGGTAAGTAATGAGTAAGAAGCATGCATTGTTGAGAGAGCGTTCTGCTTGTAATGTGCATTGCGTCGGATTTGAACTCCACGTGGGCAGTCATCATTTGATCTAATGACCCCGTTGTCTTGACAGATAATCTTGTAGACGTTCTGCAGCAATGCTTGGAGTCAACACTCACACACTGTACGGCTGGGACATGGAGCACTACTTTTACGATGAGATGGACACCGAGGAGGACTTCTTTAAGTCTACAGCCCCAAGTGAGGATATATGGAAGAAATTCGAGCTGCTTCCCACCCCGCCCATGTCACCCTCAAGGACCCTTGTTGGGGACTGGTTACTGCCGCTACCAGGGGACTGGCTCGGGTGGGCACCGCCGAAGCTATTAACATGTGATGATGAGTACGAGGGTCTGCACAAATTTGACCCACTGGACATTTTTGGTAATCTGGGCTCTATCGTTATCAAAGACTGCATGTGGAGTGGTTTTTCCACGAGTCACCGACTGGAAAAAGTGGCTCATGGCGAGCGACCACCGGTGACTGCTCAGATTCAGACCTTGACCACACAGAAAACTGCTCGTGCTCCATCGGGCACGCCCGTGACTGGGACGCATGCGGCGCAGTGCGTGAGCCCCGCCGCAGTCCTGGAACTCCCTGTCCCGCATAACAAGAAAGTGGCTGCGGGCTCCTCTGGTTCTGAGTGTCGCTCGGATTCATCCGGTAAGATATGTGATTACTTCACATGTGATTACTGGCATGAGTCCATTTGTACTTCAGAATAAGCCTGAGCCAATGAGGTGATATATCTGCTATTACTGTGCTATAAAGATGGATGTTATCGGAAGTAATTTATCTAATAACTTCAATCCAGATCAGATTTGGCAGTTAGTTGGTGTTCTTCCATTCCAAAGAAAATTGATCCATAAGAAGCCAAAGCATCAAGCTTTGCCTGTGACCAAGCCACTCGCAGACTAAAAGCCGATGTGGAGCGTCAATTGTTGCAGCGGATTCCTTTTTTCTCTGCTCAAAGTTCTGTAGTCTGCTCCACGCCCAGTTTTCCTTCCCTGCACACTAGTGAGGGGAATTTCACTTTTATAAACGCAGTTGTCACTGCAGGCAAGGTCATGCAGCGTTTACATTCATCATATAAGATGTTCTGTCTTGATTTTTCATGATTAATGAATTAATATTTCTAATTTATATTTTCGTCTAGTTATTTATTTATTTTTTAGAACAAAAAAAAAACATTTTTAATAGTTTAGGTTAACAATAATCAGAATAAGTTTGGGGTATTTTTCTCTTTCTACAAATGTGGTTTAAAAAACCTTGGTAGTTTTATAATATTTTGACCTCTATTTTGCCATTAAAATGGCTATAGAAGCTGGTATGGCATTAAAAACAAACTGGCTCATGTGGCGGTATAGTTGGAATGCAACTTTCTTGCCAAGAACTGTGAAATATTCTACAGATTGCCTTTTATTAGTGAGGTGACGTGTAAACAACCATAACACATTGGTTAATTTAGTGGATGCATTAATTTGATTGGTAGTTTTCCGTTTCCTTTTTTTTTTTTTTGGAAAATAGTTTGCAGAACAGTATGGTTTTATTTTTATTATTAAAGTATGTTGTGCTGGAAAAGATGTCTGAATTAATTTGATATGCTAAGTTCTTTAGCTAAATGTGCCAAATGTTTTGTGGTCTCAGATGAGGATGAGGATGATGATGATGATGTGATTGACGTGGTGACGGTGGACAACCGACCGAAGCGTGGTCGCCCTCCAAGCCGACGAACGCCGGTAACCATTACAGTGAGTGCCGATCCATTTGGACCATGTCCCAAGCACTTCCACGTCTCTCTACATCGGCAGCAGCACAATTATGCTGCTCCCTCCCCTGACACGGATCCCGAGGATGACTTCGATGAGATTGAGTCTGAGAGCAAACGGCCACGTCTGGAGCCTTCGTCCTCTCCCTCGTCTCCACTTTCCTCACCGGCCACATCGGACTCCGAGGACTTCAGCGAGCAGCGTCGTAACTTCCTGGAGAGGAAGAGGAGGGATGACCTTCGCTCGAGGTTCCAGGCGCTCCGCGAGGAGATTCCAGGTCTGTCCGGATCCTCGAAGACCTCTAAGGTGGCGATTCTGACGCAGGCGACGGATTACTTGGTGAAGCTTCATGGGTGCCAACGGCGACAAGCTCAGGAGAAGAAAAAACTGAAAGCCAAACAACAACTGCTTCTCCGCAGGATCAGTGCATTACAGAACTCCTGAAAAAAAAAAAAAAGTCTGCTTTAACACTGCACAATATTTCCAAAGCTCATTATGGACAAGAGAACTCATTGTTTGTCAATCACTGAAATGACACTTAAAACACTGCAGGGAGATCTTTAAAATCACATTGAAATCTGCCCTCTTGAAGGGATCTGTACATGTGTGTGTGCTGCGCTCTAGACTTTAGTCGACACATGGATAACTTTCTTTGAGGAGACAATGACAGAAATGTGCACATGCAATGCCTTTATAAACCTCAGCAGATGGCGATGAAGAGGAAGTTGAGACATTTACCTCCATAGCGAGAAGGGTGGGTGATGTTTGTATGCATGGGGGGGGGGGGGGGGGGGGGGGGGTATTATGAGTGGGGAGCATGGTGTTTGAACATGTTGTGTAGAAAATATGAAATGTCTTGTTCATAAATTGATCTGTACAAAACTTGTTGTAAATACTGTATTCAGAGGATGTTGTCCTCCTGTATCTACTCATCAACTGCACAGAGATTCTATTTTGTTAAAGAATAAAGCATCTAAAATGACAAGTGGTTTTTCCCATTTAATAAATTTGGGCCAGGGCGCGTCTAAAATGAACACTGACAAAGTGCACTGAGTTTTGTACTCTCCAGACGTCTTGTAAGAATAAACCTAAGCTATTGTAATGCAGTTTATGCTAAAATGTAAAATTCCTGGTCAGAACTTTTTTTTTTTTTTTTTTTTACATTTTATTCTGAATCTTAAGAGGCAGCAAATTATGGCTCACGTTAAGATTAGTTTTTCAGATCCTTCCCTGTGTGTGCCTGCTGTTAAAGCTGAAAGAGGAAGTGTTCTGCATATTTACTGCAAAACAGGTAGTTCAAAAATCACCTTTACCCCCATTATCCTGCACAACAGGTTAAACTGAAAACTGATTTGCGTTTAAGGGAGGCTTATTCTCTCACTCAGATATTAAATTTAGTCCCATATCTCATTTCTTGAAATTAATTCTTAAAACTGCAGAAGTGGGATGCAGGAAGCTGAAAGAGGAAGTGATGCTAGCAGCCTTTTCATGTGTATCTGAATTTCTTCACCAAACTGGGATCAGTTTAGTCCATCAGACTTTACTTCATGATTGTCTAGAAAGCAAGCTTTTTATTTTGAGAGCGAGAAATGATGCAGCAAGGACACGTGAAATAGACCAAAAGTGACTGAAAACATTCTTACAAAATGTTCTACTTCAAGTAAATGTTGCTCTTTTGAACTTTGTATTCCACAAAAAAATTAAGCAGTGCGACTGTTTTCAACATTGACAAGTGTTTTTTGAGCACAAAATCAGCATATTAGAATGATTTCCGAAGGATCATGTGAAACTGAAGACTGGAGTAATGGCTGCTGATAATTAGGTGTTAACTCTTTTTTGAATTGTACGTCATGTTTTACTATCCTTTTAATAATAAAATAAATGCAGCCTTGGTAAACATAAGAGAAACAATTGTTTTGGTGAACGCCTGCTACTGCTTTTGCACATTCCCACTATTAAACAGTTGTAACTACTTTCTACTAATTATCTTGTTAGTGCAGCTATTATTGGTGTGTTTATTTTCAAAAAGGCCATATCACTCTCTTTTCCCATTATTCAAAGTCTATTACATAAGAATCCACACATAAACAGTAGCTCTCTCTCAGACATAAAGCCCGGCTGTACCAGCACCGTCTCTGCCAAGCGCTGACCCAGATTCCATTCCCATAGAATCACAGGAAGTCAGACAGCTCCCAAACAACCGGTGACCCACTGATCATAATGAAGCTAATCTTTGCCACACATACTCATTTATTTAGTTCCCACTTCCTAATCCCTGTGTGTGTGTTGTTTTTCTTTCTCCAATCTCTTTCATTTCTCCTTTTCTCTCTGTCGGAGAGTAACTGACAGTTACAACAGGCAGTGTTTATGTCTCTCGGTCTGTCTGTCACCTCACTGTCTGTGGACGTTATGGTCTGGGTGTGGCACAGAAGCAAGTTTATTGCATTTGACTTGCTCTGAAACTGAATCTGTCTGCCCAAACATTTAAGTAAATCAGCAACGGATTTTATTTGGTGTGCTTTTGCCTCAAATCTCAAGTAATCTTTATCCCACAGTTTAAACACAGCCATCTGGCTGCAAACAAGATAGACCCATGCGTCTCCACTCTCCACTTTGCCATCCAAACATATAAACAGTATAACACATTTATCAGATTACTTTTTCAAGTAACTAGTAAAGTAACACTTTACTTTTAAATGAAAAGAAAATATCGGAGTAACTTTTTCAAACAAGTAACACAAGTTACTTTTGTTTTCCCATTTACATTTATTCATTTAGCAGACGCTTTTATCCAAAGCGATTTACAAATGAGGTACAAGTGATTCATCACAAAGAGGCAATAAACACGAGCAGCGCAGGTAATATACAGTTTCAGAGCATTGTTTGGAATAGTACAAGCTAGAACAGGCAGAGATTAAGGAAAAGTAAAAGCATAGGCGAATATTTTTTTTCCAGCAGGAAGCAGTTGAGATGAATCTTCAGCTGTTTCTTCACTTCTGTTTCTTTCAGATATGGGTTGAGACAACGCATTCTCATCCCAAGGCGTCATATACTGACGCTTTTGGCAAAGCGTCTACATCCTCCAATAGTATCCAGCTGCAGACCCGCAGCACCACCAGTTTCAGAACCCCAGCGCCAGAACCGGAAGTAAGGGGCGGAGCTTACGTTCTAACACCAGCGCCAGAACCGGAAGTGAGGGGCGGAGCTTACGTTCTAAACCGAGTAACGCCACCTAACGTTTTGGAGCGTAATTTGCTTAGACACGAAATGGCATTACTACACACGAAACGTCATACTTTATACGTATTATAATGATACATTAAGTAAATAATTCCGCCCCTCCCTCACTTCCGGTTCTGGCGCTGGGGTTCTGGCACTGGGGTTCTGAAACTGGTGGTGCTGCGGGTCTGCAGCTGGATATATCTCACATCCGACGCACATGGCACCCTTTAGCGTCAATATAACACGCTTCGGTTATGGGTAGGTTTAGGTCTGGGGTAGGGTTAGACCACTAGGAGGCGCCATATATCTGCGTCTCATATTGACGCTAAAGGGTGCCATGTGCGCTTTGGCAAAAAGCGTCAGTATATGACGCCTTGGGATGAGAACGGGCTGGTTGGGAAGATCATTCCACCAGCAAGGAACAGTGTAAGAAAACGTTCTGGACGGTGATTTTGTGTCTCTCAGTAAAGGTACCATGAGGCGTTGCTCATTTACGGACCTCGGGCTTCTGGGGGGGATGTAGACTCAAAAGAGTGGAGGGTGCAGAGCATGTGGCTGTTCTATGCAAACATCTTGAACTTGATGCGAGCCGTAACTGGTGTGACGTGGACTCTCTTGGGCTTAATGAAGACCAGTCATGATGCTGTGTTCTGGATCATTTAGTGGTTCGATCGAACATGATGGAAGTCCAGCCGGAAGAGAATTGCAATAGTCCAGCATAGAAATGACAAAGGCCTGGATGAGAAGTTGTGCAGTTCAGTTAGGAAGGGTCTGGACTTCCTGATGTTGTGCTGTGCAAACCTGCATGTTCGTGCTGTCTTTGCATTGTGATCTTTGAGGGTCAGCTGGTCATCAAAGATTACCACAAGATTTCTGACCCAACTTGATGGGATTTTTGTTGATGAATTAATCCTACCTATAGCAGCCAATGATAAACAACAGAAACAGAAAACTGTATTAAGCAAACACTTACACGCTTCCGCCGTCTCGATGGACACCTAGACGGACACCTCTCCTGTCGCCATGTTGAGAGAAATGGGCAGTAAGGTGCAGAGGTTTTGTGTGTGCTGTGTGAACATGATGGTATTTTTATTGTATTTCTAGACTAAATGTGAGGATGCATTTACTCATCTCAAAAGTAACTTTCGCCAACACTGCATACAAACACACTATTAGACACTCTTAAAGTCAGCACAAAATCTAAATTGACCCTATATTTTTCATGCATGTTACTGAATGATTCATCCATGAATTCTTTTTTTTTTTTACTAATTTGAACAATGCTTTTTGATAAACCAATTGCATTTAGATCTGCCTTCATTCCAGTATGCAACATGTCTATATGATGGAAAACGTTCAACTTTATTTTGTATTATATCTAATTAACAATTACTAAATTAAAGTGTTGTCTTAAATACAGGAAACACATAGCCTACTTGATTTTTATTTAAGTATTACACTCCTAAGTGGTTATTAGATTGGATTTCAGGGGTTTCTGTGTCTATGTGTGCTCGTTGGTAAGGAACAGCTGTTTCATTGTGTTGATGCACTCTCAGATGAATGGAGAGAGCCTTCAACTGAACCCAGAGACCCAGTTGTATCATTTGAAACCGCCCCTCTGTGGTGTGATTGGCTGAAGGGGTTGTAGGGGGGGGGCATTAGATTGGTGGGGGGTCTTTGTCTGTTTGGTTGTTGTCTTTAATGAGATTTTGGACTCCTGGTCATCAAACCAAAGCTTCAATTATCAGCAGGACCATGTCTGCACTAACTTCAATGCATTATCATTGATGCCGTTTACAATATGCCTGGATGGAATATTAAATGAGAGGAATTCTGTGTGCAAGTTGGATATAATACAGCAATAATTCTTAAATTTGCGACGGTGTGTATAGCTCGGTAAATACTTTTAATTTCCACAAAAAAAGTGGAGAAAGGTGATACTCTGCTATTCTTTTATGGATGTTATGCCTAGATGGGATCTATGCAGCATGTAGAAAACTAATACTTTTGCAGTGTACATTTGCATTTGATTCTATCTGTGTTCTATGCAAGCACTATAAAAACTCGAAATGATTCTGAGACTCAGTGCACATTTAGATTATCGATTAAAAATAAAGTAATAAACAACTGGGAATGAAAAGAAAGTGTGTAATTAGGCATGTATGGGTTGTGTGTATATGTATCCTTGTGTGATGTAAGCTGAATATAGGTCAGTAGTGTAGGGAGAGGGAGCTCTGGCTGACCTCAGCACAGACATGCCTTTGTTATGTAACTCTCTTCTCTTCCCTGCCCCTCCCTCTATCTCTCGCTATTGCTCTTTTCTCAGATTCAAACTCAAGCTTGATAAATGAGCTTATGGATGCTTATGAGCTACGGATTAATAAACGTTTTTATATACATATAGTCAAACTTGCACATACATAAACATAAACGCATTCTCTCCCGAGTCCCAACCCAATGGCTGACGCTTGCTTAATAAAGTGACATAATTAGTGATCCGATGCTGCCCTCTGGCGGTAGAACGACGCATAACTAATGGTCTTGATTGTGAATGACAAAGCAG